GAAGTGCCGAGAGTCGCAGATTTGTTTTTCAACAGATGCGCCTGACATATGGTTTAAAGGCAACCTAAAAGCCAGACATATGGTTTACAGGCAACCTAAAAGCCTGACATATGGTTTAAAGGCAACCTAAAAGCCTGACATATGGTTTAAAAGCAACCTAAAAAGACGTATCCTCTAAAGAAGAGGCACACCGAGATGAAGGTTAGACAATTCCAAGGGGGGGGCGACCATTGTGAGTTGAGTGGCAGCCTCTTCCCTCTCTCTCGGGACCCAGCTCCACTGGGCAACTGGAGCAGGGGGGGGGGGTGGGAATTGAGGTTGTTTTTGGGGGCATGTAGTTTTATCATAGCATGTTTCCATGCCACGGCCAATGCGCCGTTTGGCTCAAGCTTTTCACCGCGTCGGACTCCGCCGCCATAACGGCATCGGCTGCCTACGGCGCCGCTACTCATCTCGGTCGTGCAAAAGATCGGGCTGAGGTTCGCGGCGGTAGGCACGTTCTTTGGTTGTGGGTCGGTTGTTTGTCTGGTGGCGCGCGCTCTGTTGCTGCTGCTCCGCTTTTGCTTGGTTAATTGCTTTGCTCGCTTGCTTGCTGCGCTCGCCTGGTTGGCTGTGCTGGTCCCCTTTCCTGTTTGGGTTTTGCGGTTAAACAGGATTCCCCGTTTGTTATCTGTGTGGTTCTTTGCCAGCCGAGGGCACCACTTTGCCCTTGGGACTGGGGGGCTTAAGCTGTCTCTTCTTGTTGGTGGGTTAGGGCCTGTTTATTCTCTCCCGAAATACTGTTTCAAACCCTTTCGCAGGTTATCAGCCGTAGGATTCGTCCTCGGTTGGCACCGCGAACCCCTTTTTAATAACAACCCTGCAGGCGCCGTTTTCCATAGGCTACTGTAGGACTCATGGCGGGATTCACTGGGGATGGACCTCATGTGGTGACCGATGAGTGGGTTCTCGGCCAGGCCGGAATCTTGGACGTTGTGAATGACGACCAAGTGCCCGGACAGCCGATGTTTTCCGGTCCTGACTTTTTGTCGGATCACACTTTTCCCGAAGCAATGCCTTCAGAGAGGTCCAGTGCTACTGGCACTGATGATCTATCGTCTAATGCCTCAAGAGCTAATCGCTCTCAGGGTCGTGGGACTAATCGTCCTGACCATGATGATTCCGTCTCAGGACGTGATGATGACGAGCCCGGTATTGTACCTGGAGCTCAATCCTCATTTTTCCCCGAGCTGATGAATATTGGTCAGTCCGAGGTTCGTGACTCGCGAGGCAGCAATAGACCTGTGCCAACCAGTAGCATAGCTTTCCAAGTGCTTGGTAATCCCGAACCTGGTACATCCAGTGGAGTTGCGTTTGATGTTTATCTGCCAACCGAATCCGGCGGGCTAGATTGGAGAGCCTCATGGCCCAACGACGGAAACATTTTTGGCATGGATTTCGCCGCATGGATGCCAGGGCCACCCGCCCCCATCTTTCCCGCAATTCCAAAGCCCGAAACGGGCTGCTGGAAGCGATGAATTCATGCTACCTTTGTCGATTGAGAATCTCAATCCTGATGTGGCCAGCCGTAATGTCAGGCCAAGGCCGTCGGTAAACCCGACCATGAGGAACATGCCCCCTCCCCCGGAACTTTCAGGATTTGAGAGCCCTAGGGAGCGGAACATCGTAGATAGATTGGATTTGCATCCCAGTCCAACCCCGAGCCCAGGAGAGGCTGAACAAGCTTAAAGGAAGACTTTAGAGCACAGCGCGCTAAAGTATAGGTTTGTGATTTGCAACGCCGCGCGTGGCCCGATGCTCCAGCCAACGCGCGCAAGGGCTGGCCGCCTCTGGCTTGATCCGCGTGGCAATCGGACCAAAGTCGCGCTAGAATCAGTGGCGGCGCGTGGCTAGTTTGAGCCAAAAGTAGCACGGGCACAGCCAACTATACGGTATAAGTTCATCCTGCCCAGTGGTCCCGCCGAGTATCTCAAGTATCCCAGAGTAGCTCGCCAGTGGCTCCCGCCAAGGACCCACCCCACCCCACCCCACCCCACCCCACCCCAACCCCACCCCACCCCACCCCGCCCACCCCCAACCCGCCCGACCCGACCCCAACGAACCAGACCCCGCCCCACCCCACCCCACCCCACCCCACCCCACCCCGCCTTGCTATATCTATTTCAAGAGCGTCGGCGCATGCCAAAATTGGAGACTATGGATGTCCCTGAAATTCATTTCCTGTAAGTAGAAACCTATACAGGCGGTCCGCAAGGTTAAAAATGTTCAAGGCATATGAGAGAAATCAATTCTCTTGAGCCCATCTGGGAAGATCAAGTTTATGACGCAAAAGCGAACACAGGGGGCGGGGGGTTGGATCCTATGATCTTGTGCGGCCACTTGAGGGGTGACGCGTCACGCCCTTTCTACAAGATAGCTACCTTGGAAAAATGACGGGCGGGATCCCTTCGATCGAAGCGTCGATGCCGCGCGCAGCTCTTTGTCAGCCGCTGAAAAAGGCGTCGGGCCCAGCCCACCTAAGGCATACAGACGCAGCGTAGTGCTGCAAGGCCCGTTGGCTCAGTGTCAATATGTGGCAGTGTCGGATAATCTTCCTGGCCGATTTGTTGCGCAGCATGGATACAAAGAGAGATATAATAGGCCAAGGCGCTTCCCACGGCCCATAAGATCCTCGTTGAGGTAATTGCCAAAGTACTTGGCATTGCCAAAGCGCCCGCAAAAGTCAAACAACCTAGGAGTTCTAGCGCAAATGACATGCTTTAGAAACAGGCGAGGGCGACACATATGTTCAGCTTGGTGCTGCTTCGGGCGAATTGCCCAACGCAGCGTCGAGTTGTCAAATGCCTTCTTGGCTAGACCTAGGCGATACAAAATATAATGTGCGCCTGGGCGGAGGAAACTAAGTCCTCGGCAATTGTACGCCGTGCGATACATCATGTAAGCCTCCTCGAGCTTCACGTGGGTCAAAAAGGGATCTGGCCCTGTCGAGAGCAAACTTCTCCTCGCGGGCACCAATTCCAAACAGCCCCTGTGTCCCCCCCCCGCCTGTGCTTAGCAAATATGGTATACATTTGCGTCAGCCCCAGGAAGACTGCCGCAGTCCACCTTCAACTCTGCTGAAGTAAGTGTTGCAAAAAAGACCAGGTGCACGCACGAGCCAGTTCAGTGAAGCGGCCACGCTTCCTCGGTGCCATGCTGCTCCGCCAAGGCCTGCGCCTTTTCCGCCATGAAGTACGACATGGACTTGGCAGCAGCGCCTTTGAGCACCTTTTGGGACACAGCTGGATACTTCCCCGTGGAAGGAACGAGCGCTTTGGAGGTGAACAGGCGGGAGGACGCTCGGCAGCTGTGGGGCACACCTCAGCACGCAGCGTATAAGCGAGAACCAACTTGAGAGGCTGCGTGGGGTCCTGGCGGCACTCCCGACACCATTGCATATATTCTTTGTGAAGCTGCTCAAGTCGTTCGTCGCGCGGCGGGCGGCGACCATCTGACCAGGTCATGAGAGCTGAGCAGATGGCGTCAACTGTGCAGGCTAAGTCCAGGATGTGCAGCGCGTCCGGGAACACACCTGGTTCCTGCCCTTTTTGAGCACGTGTGTGTTGCGGGCAACGACTTGCGCCCGCACCTGTGGTTTTCACGTTTCCCTACTTGTTAACCAAGGGATCCCAACAACAAATGCAATATGACCCGCGTGGTTAATTTCGCCAGCCCTTTTCTTTCCAGCGCCCTGTTATTTGGTTGGTGTGTAATCTAAAGGTAATATGTGATCGATCGGGGGGACCGCGCGTGCCTCGAACAATTGTTTTATAGGGTTGCGCGCTTTTTTGGTCGGCAGGTTTTCCTTTAGTATACTATACGTGGCTTAAGGCAAGAACGAAAATGTGTATCAATGGCCGCCAACAGGCGCTTCAGGTGGAGCACCTTCCGAATCGCGTCCTGGTCCCCCTGCAGTCCGCTGAAGCACCCCCGCCAGCCATTGGCAAGCCACGCACCCGCTTGCGCTGCGCGCCAAGGCATGTCATCCGGGCTGAAGGAAGTGCCCCACGGGTCCTTGGAGGGAAAGCGCCCAGTACCTCACAAGACCATCGCAGGCACCCCCCGCAGGGCGCGTGGCCAAGCTTGCGATCTAAGACGCGCACGCATGGCTGCGAAGGACCACGCGACAATCTCCATCATGGTGTCGCGGGTTTCCTAGCAAACGCAAGGGTTGAGACTTTTTTTTTAAACCTCAGCAGCCCCGCCTCCTCAGGCATGCACCAAGGGGACCAGATGCTTAGCCTTGGGCGCGCAAGTTGGTTCACTACACGAGTGTCTGTAGCACTGTAGCGCCAGTCGCTGCACAGCTAGGGGCACGATCCGACTGTCCAGGGTCGCGCGTCGCACTGGCGCGGCAGGAATGAGGCACGTCAGCTCGAAGGTGCTCCCGCCTGGACAGCTGGTTCAGTTTCAATATCATGTCTTTGTTTCGCAAACGCGTCCAGGCGCCTTTTGTCTCGGCTCCATCGCCGTAAAGCTTGAAGGGGACGATGGCCAGCGCGGTGCTTGGAAACTTAGATGAATAAATGTCATAGTTGCAAACTCAACTGACGATGTGTGTAGCGCGTCTATGGAGCATCATCCTGCCAAGACATTCGCAGCTCTTCTGCAAGGTCTGCGTTGAAGCTCCAAAACTCTTCCAGGTCCTGAGCAAGCGCGAGCGCGGGAACAAAGTTTTGCTTGCGTGATCAAGCTGGCGGCTTGCAACGAGCGGCGGCTGGCGTGCCTGTCAGGAGATGGAACTTGTCGGACTTGTACAGGGTGTGCATGATCTCGTGCGGGAGCATGATGCTGGCCGTCAGCTTCTGCTCTTTCAGGCCAAGCGGTGCGTTGCGTCGTTCCACCAGGAACCTCGAGTCTTACACGGGCCCTTTCAGAGCCAACGAAATGACAAGACGCGAGTGCCAAGAAACTCAAAGCCGTGCGACGGCAGGATTTGCCTCCAAGCCTGTTTGTGCAGC